CTATTTACTTATTTCAACTACACATGATTGGATACTGATATGAATATCCACACAATTTATTGTGTTAAGATTCTTAACTTTAGTAAATCAGCTCAAATACCTGAGGCAAGACAGATTTGTATATGGTCACATGCAGCAGAAAAGATCTGGAAGTTTACCAACTGGATCTTTATGCATCTATTGGATTACATTTTTACAAAGATATTCTGACATATCAGTTAAAAATCTTATATCAAGCAAACATCGTATTTTATTTACCGCAATATAGAAATTTCTATTCAGATTCTACCTGGTCTGTATTCAGAAGCTTAATATGGCAAATAAAAGTCAGGCAAACATGCTTTTAGAATCTGATGACAAAAAAATAATTCCTTCGTAGTTAGGACAGCACCTACATCAGATGAACATGCTTGTCTTTGCACTCAGCAGCTTATATTGGCAAGACAACAAACACAGTAAAATCCAATAAAGCCTAAAGAAATCCATTGGTTGGGTTTATCTGCTAAAGCTTTGAAACTGCCCTGGGTTATACTTATTTTAGTTGTTTTAGCAATATAGATCTTTTTAAAGGGATAGCAGACGAGAGAAGCTTGCTTCACAGCTCTCTTAGTTTAATTGAAACCTTTGACTCAGTCATCTCATAAGGGATGAGTAAATCTGGCCATAGATATATCAAAATTCAGCGGGTTCAGTAGGCACTGGTAGAATTTAGATCTAACTATGGCAACTCCTGCTCAACAGACATCAAACTAATGATCGACTCCTGTCGAATGGTTTTGTTAGATAATCTCTGTCAGTGACTACAACCACTAATCAGTGTATTCTGACAGAAGAGAATCTCCACTGTCAGCATACAGTCTCAGCGGGGAGGATTCTTCCATCCACCTTGCTCTCATGGATTGGGGAATAGGGTCATTTTATTTAGTTTTTTCTTCAGCCTGCTGGCTGAACCACAAAACAATCCGTCCATGGCCAGCCTTACTGCTCCGATTGCTTATCCCAGTTCTGTAAAACTCTTTCCTTTAGCACAGCTTATATTAATCATGCTTAAAAGAGATTAGAGCTCTCCTTGGACTAAAAAAAGTAATTATTAAGCCAGTGCTTAAAATTTCAAGTCCTGAGCTACTAGCCAGGCCTTAGAGTTACTCGCCACCAACAAACACACACAGAAACATGTACACACACACACACACACACACACACACACAGAAACATGTACACACACACACACACAGAAACATGTACACACACACACACACACACACAGGCACGTACAGACACTTATACACACAGATACATGTACATACACAGAAATACACACGCACAGACACAAGTACATACATACACATGTACTTATATACACACACATACATGCTGACACATGTACAGATACACACAGACACATGTACAATTGTACATGCATACACAGACACACACAAATGTACACGTACACACACCCCCCCTCCCCGCATAAAAAGTTGTAGTACTTCGTTGTTCACTCACAGATCCGAGTACTGCAAACTAGGGGGAGGCAGAGAGCACAGCACACACTCCTTCCTTTGCTTTCACTGCGCTCAGCTATTGAGCAGTCTCCCAGTGCCAATGACAGATCTGGCCTGAGCTCCGAGACTGCTCAGCAACACGGCCCTGGGGGGCACACTCGCCCCCCCACCATAATTTCCACTCGCCATTGCAGAAATTTCAAGCCCTGTATTAAGCTATACACTGGGGTGAGTTTACTAAAGGCAAATAGATTGTGCACTTTGTAAGTGCAGTTGCACTAACTTTCCCCAGAGTTTAGTAATGAGGTAAAGCTCTGCTGATTTCCATATTCCAATCAGATGCAAGCAAAAATCATTTTTTTTCTCTGTTTTTCTTTGCACCCAATTGGGTATCTTTGCAAAGTGAAGTTTTACAACACTGGCATTTACTGAGAAAAATTAGTGCAACTGCACTTGCAAAGTGCACAGTCGATTTGCATTTAGTAAATCAACCCCATTGAGTTTAAACGTACACCATTCTCCAAGTCAGATCTGGAGCAAATTAAGGAGTTATGGGTGATGATCATATAATATCTATGAACATCTTAAAGTGTATCCAAAACCAAAACTAGAGAGTGGTTAGAACCACTTTCAGATTTTAATTGTTGCCAGTGTCCCACATAGAGAGATTAACTCATTTTCTTCTGGTGACGACTTTAACCAAAATATTGAGTTGCCACCAGAACAGGAATAATAGGGAAATTTTCCAATAGGGGCACTTATGGTGGCAAAAGTCTAAGTGGACATTTCTCTCAGTTTGGAGAGACTTCTAGTGTGTCTACAGAACAGGAAATGAAATAAAATCTGTCCACTGGGCCCAGATGGGAAAAAACAAAAAAACAAACTGTCAGGAGTTTTCACCATTCCTTACTACATCCAAATTGAAAATTATGCCGCATGTGCAGGCTCGCTCCCGAGCCGGGCTGTGCGTCCATTGACACACACAGTGCGGCTCGGACAAGACCCCCCCACAGATTTGACTAACAGCAGCGGGAGCCATTGGCTCTCCGCCAAGCCTATGAGTGCACAGAAAAGAGAGAAGTCCTGCAGACAAGCACAGCGCTTGATCAATGCAGGACTCCAGGATACAGGACAGTAAGTATTTAGGTATTTGGGGGGGGGGGGGGTGGCTAAGAGAGAAACAGGGTTGTATAAAAGAAATGACAGATATGTGCAATTCCTATAGCCCGACGCCCTGGATGTGCCTTTCCGGCCGTCGGGCAAGAGGTTTTTTTTTTTTTTTTTTACTCTGCTGAGGGTAAGGCTCTCTTGTAAAAGCAATCAGAGCAGCTAACTAGCCGCTGGATTGCTTTTACAAGCAGCAGGAAGGGACTCCATTCATCACTACCAGTTTCCCTGGATGCAAAGGGCACCATTGTTAAAAATGGAAAGCATTTGTTCACATCTATCTTGGTGCGATCAAATGCTTTTAATGGCAGAGGAGGGATCAGGGGTCTTAAGGACCCCAGATCTCTCCATAAAGAGTATCTGTCACTGTCTATTGCTGTCACAAGGGATGTATACATTTATTGTGACTGCAATAAAAGCATTAAAAAAAAAAAAAAAAAAATTAAGAGCAACAGTGTAAACATAATAATTAACATTTTAAAGCGTCCCTTTCCCCTCATGCTCATACGCAAAGGCGAACGCACGTATTGGTCCCGCATGCAGATGCAAATAGCGATCGTTTCACACGTGAGGCATCACCGCGAATGTCAGATCATGGAGAGCAATTCTAGCACCAGACTTCCTGTGCAAATCTAAAGTGCTAATTTGTACAGGCTTTTAAAGCGTAACCTGTGGATAGTAACATTTTTGTCGGTTTTGCCATTGCACAGACGTGCACAAATTTTAAAGCATGGCATGTTTAGTATCCATTTACTTGGTGTAACATCATATTTTACCATAAATTTAGCTATGTATTGTGTTTTTTTGCATTCAAATTAAAAAAAGTACTTTTTTCCCTCAAAAAATTGCTTTTGAAAAATAGCTGCATGAAATAAAAAAATTGCAACACCCACCAATTTATTCTCTAGGGCCTCCGCTTAAAAAAAAAAAAAAAAAAATATATAAAAATATAATTTGGGGGTTCCAAGTAATTTTCTAGCACAAAAATTAAAAGTTTAAGTTGCCATAAAGCCTGTTTTGCTTTTAAAAGCCCCACTGCATAATAAAAAACAACAACCCTTCACATTTTTTAACCTGGCAAAATGTTTTTTTTTTTTTTATTATTTACCAGGACAAGTAGATTGGGACCCCGATTTAGTCCCTTAGACAAGTAGTTTTTAAAAAAAAATTTCCACACCCTTGTATGGTACAAAAGCAAACCAAAATTCAAAAGGTTACAAAATGCAGTGTATAGAATGAACAGAACTACACAAAATCAGACAACTCAAACAAACAGAGGTAAAAAGGTAAAACAGGAGGGGAAAAGAAGAAAAAAGAAAAAAAAGAAGTACAAAGACAGGTTATAGGATTTTCAGCATGTGACCAAATGCCCTCCTTCAGGGTGGATGACATCATAACCCACGATGACCAGTCCTATACATTTAAAAGCGCACAAAAATAAAATTACCTCTGTTAATGCCTGTCCTACATTTGTTTTTTCTGCTCCGTTTGGTAAAAACGCCCCATATCTGAAGCTGAGACATGTAGTTCCAGCTGTAGTACATGAATCATAGTAGGTTGCTCATTTTACACTAACTCCATTCAGAAAAAGCCTTGTATTCTTTTCACTGAATACAAAGCATTTTGTGATTGGAGAAGGAGGAGGGGAAATTGTGACATCCGACAGTGTACTAAAGTGGAAGTAAACATAGAAAAAAATTAAAATAGAGACAGGATTTTATGACAGAAAACACCCTATTAGTTTCTTCTGTCATAAACCCTTATGTCAGCTTGTCAACATTTATGTATACAGAGTCCGCATGTGCAGCTCAGCGTACATTTACAGCACAGCTCTGTGCCGTGAGGATGTGACTCCCATGCACAGCAGTGACATCATCATAGCCCGGAACCCAAAAGGAAGACCAGGAGAAGATGGCAACTACCAAGACCGGTGGCAACACTGTAGGGAATCACTTGCCAGGTAAGTCTGCTACAACGTGTTAATATGCTCTGTATACGAGCACATTATAGCTAAAAAAATGGCAGAGGTTTAATTCCATTTCAAATAGTTTAGAAGAAGGTAACTGTTCAACAAGTTATCCAAGCACCCAAATACTAACTACTAAATATTACATATAAGAACCCGAGCCAGTGGCACACAGAAACTGCACGTGACAGAGTGGACATTGCATGTTCTATTAATATGTAAAATCAAACAGAAGATACTATTCAGGATTATTTCCTTCCATCTATTACAACATGCTGTATATGTTGTATGTGGTGTATGCCGGTAATTCTTTGAATACAGGATAAAGTATGTCATCATAAGGCTGGAAAACATAATATACACACCTGAACAACGACCGCAACCACAGCAATTCCAGTGGATGTGGGGGTAGAATCCCACTGCAGGGGTCTACTCTGGGATTTCTTCATTCTACTGAGAGTCCAGCCCATACACAGGCTTAGCAGCAAGTATAGCATCTGTACTTCTGAGGCCATATCACATACTATAAAAGAGGAAACACAAAAATGACAGACTTGAGGATTACAGTTAGTAGGTGATGTTAACTTATTTAAATACTCTACCAATATTTATATGTTTTAAAGAGTAACTTCACTTTTGTTGACAACAAAAAACAAACAATCCCCTCTTGGAGATCAATTTACATTGCAAGAATTTTAACACATTTTGTTGCAGATTCTCATCTACTTCTGCTCTGAAGGAATAACTTTTTATTTGACTATGTCCTAAGAAGTTCTGTGTTCAACATAACCACCTGGTGCACTGTCAATGTTCTGATGAGAAACGTTGCAGTGTCTGTATCCCTTTAGGCCTCGTTCACATGGGCGATGATGGCCATGCAGCGTGAACAGGCCGTTTTTGCAGCATCTAACTTCCATGTGCTGAATGCAGGCAGCCCACTGAAGATTACAAGGGTGGGGGTGGGGTATAGATGGAGGAAGATTTCACCTAAAAAGGCATCAATACAAGGGACACATCCTACTGACTGTACGTTATGTGCCTTGTACTGACGTTCTGTTTATTATTTTTGGTTGCACTTAGGCTTAAAGTATTTTACAGTCATAAATGCGGATTTTAATATGTCTGCAAAAAAAAAAAAAAGTGATGCATGTAAAATAACAAAAAATCTAAATCAATAAAATCAGGCACCTCGGCATAGATTGCTTCTACAAACATTTGTGAAAGAATGGGTCACTCTCAGGAGCTCAGTGAATTCAAGCGTGGTACCGTGATAGGTTGCCACCTGTGCAATAAGTCCATCTGTAAATTTCCTTGCTGCTAAATATTCCACGGTCAACTGTTAGTGGCATTATAACAAAGTGGAAGCCACTGGGAACAACAGCAACTCAGCCACCAAGTGGTATGCCACGTAAAATGACAGAGCGGGTCAGCACATGCTGAAGCACACAGAACGCAGAAGTCCCCGTCTGCAGAGTCAATAGCTGAAGACCTCCAAACTTTGTGGCCTTCAGAATGCACAAAAACAGTGCGCAGAGAGCTTCATGGTATGGGTTTACATGGCTGAGCAGCTGCATCCAATCCTTACATCACCAAGTGCAATGCAAAGCATCAGATGCAGTGGTGTAAAGCACGCCATCACTGAACTCTAGAGCAGTGGAGGCGTGTTCTCTGAAGTGATGAATCACACCTCTGTCTGGCAATTCGTTGGACGTGTCTGGGATTGGCGGATGCCAGGAGGTTGGGCTTGGCCCCTTAGAACTCTTAAGGCTATCAGCATGCCAAGACAATTTGGATAATTTCATGCTCCCAACTTTGTGGGAACAGTTTGGGGATGGCCCCTTCCTGTTCCAACATGACTGCGCACCAGTGCGCAAAGCAAGGTCTATAAAGACATGGATGAGCGAGTTTGGCATAGAGGAACTTGACTGGCCTGACCTCAACCTGATAGAGCACCCTTGGGATTACAGCAGAGACTGCAAGCCAGGCCTTCTCATCTGACATAATGAAATTGAATAATGCCACCATAACAAGGCAGGGTAGCCTTTTATAAAGCCCTCAGACTCACCAAAAACAGAGTGCGGGTGTCAACCTCAAAGATGCATAAAGAAAAGCAGAGCAGCTGCAAAGAACAGACTGCCAAAGTAGGTAATTACTGACCCATGCAGAGTAGTTCACAACATAATATAACAATTCTTTATTTGTAATCCAGATAAAAAATGTGATATCTTCCAATAGCAAAAATCCTACACAACCACCTTTTAGGTTTTGAGTTTATTACCGCTTCAACAACTCCTAGATTGTAAGCTCCAACGAGCAGGGCCCTCTGCTTGCCCTTCCTCTTGTACAAATTGTATTGTAACTGTAACGTCTACCTTCATTTTGTAAAGTGCCGCGTAAACTGTTGGCTCTATATAAATCCTGTATAATAATAATTTGGCTTTGTTTATTCCATTTCCAACAGTTTTTTTTTTCCTGGAAATCCAGATAACCAGTGCAGAGATATCTACTGAAAATTCTCAGAACTAGTGGAAGACTATTTTGCCCCAGAGGCTCAGCTACATGTAATATTTTTTTTTATCACTTAGTAGCCGGAGAGTAGTCCTAGGATAAATGGAGAAAACACTTTTCATAAAAAAAGCTATATACGTGCATGTATGTGTGTGTGTACATATATATATATACACCACATACACAAGAGGGGCGTTCAAGTCAAACTGGGACTTCTGAGTTTATACAATAAAAGAACAAAATTTCAAGGAGTGGAAACTGATTTATTTTTCTACACACTCCCCTGCTACATTTATCCCAGGATTTAACGAATGCCTGGAAAGCTTCAGGATAGAAAGATATATATGTCAGTACGCCTGTACCATCCTAGGACAGCCTGCTTCACTTCGTCATCATTTTGTTCACCGTCCCTGCAGAAAGATTCGTCCCTTGTGCAATTTCATAATAGGTTATGCGTTAATTATCCAGGATCAGGTGTTCCACAAACTGAATGTTCACAGGAATGACTGCTATGGGTTGGGAACCACCACTGCCAGGATCGTCACTGATGGACGTACGGCCATCTTTGAAACTTTTACACCATTAAAATATCTTACTGCGGTTGAGTGTTTCATCACTGTACAGTGCTTGAAGTCTTCTGTCGATATCCGTGAGTTTTACGCCTTCGTTCACAAGAAACTTCATCACCACACCTGTTCCATGCACGCACTAACACTGTTGTCTGCCATCTTGGTTAACAGTGTCTAGACTGGCCTGTGACAAGTGCACCAACTATGAGTAATAGGACACACTTGCTACTTACTACTGCATACAGTACCACCATGCTAGCATCCCTTTTTATACCTGAAAAATTAAAAGTCCTGGTTTGACTTGAACGTCATTATATATATATATATATATAATATAGAATGTTACTGAAAATTACCTTACAATCTGCTGCAATCTAGATTTTCTAAAATGGTCAATATTTAATATTTTCCTGCAACCATAGCAACACCTCGGAGTTACAGAACACCCACAGAGCTATCAATTCCTGTTCAGGTGATAGGTTTATTGATTTTCTGTAATCCTTTTAGGGCTTTAGAAACTATTTTGGCACTCCAGCATTTACCTTTACAGAATATTATAGCCAAAACAATTTAAATTCTACAGGAATACTGAGTTGCAGGTAGATCCTCCACTTAGTGGTTTGTTTGAAGAGGTTAGTCAAAGGCCTGTGTCAGTACCAGCAGTTGCAGCTAAGAATCTGAAATGCAGTTTGATAAAATCCTTGCAGTACTGTATATTCCAAGTTGGCTTGCATAAAACTGGTCCTTCAACAAGAGTGGAGTTTTTAACTTTAAAAAACGGTTATAAACCTCAAACATGTAATACAAACAAAGCATATCCTTCTATACTGTGTACTTGCCTCAATCCAAAACCCTCAGTGTGATGATTTCTCTCTGCTCCCTCATTCCTCTGCTATCAGAATGAAAACACTTCTGAAATATTTTTCAATACCAAAAGATAAAAAGGGGAGGAAAGCTCCTGCACACAGCCTGTGACTGATATTCTTAGTAGTGCATATTTCCTGTGAACTGTTGAAGGGGGTGTGTCCCTTCCCTCCAATCAGGGCTCAGAGCTGTCCTCACAGATCTGCACTGAGAAACTTCAGATCCCTATCCCCAGAGCTGAGAGATCCTGTATTCTGCACTTTTAATGGATGTAGGGGACAAATGGCTGCAGATAAATGGGTACAACTTACGCTGAAGGATTGGTTTCATCTCTGTGTATCATCTAATGCTACTCATTTCACTGGATATATGTAAGGGTTTACAACCACTTTAAGCGTTAAAAATCAGTTTGGAGCCAATAAGGCTGCTTTCACACTGAGGAGTTTTTGAAACGCTTAGATGAAATATACGGAACATGTTTTCCTACTGGTCAAAAAATCCTTACTCTGTAGTTATATTAGCAACATACAAAGTAGTTCTCTGTGACTAAACTTTATGAAAGAATGACTAACAGAAAAATAATTTACAATTAGATGATAGATATATTCTTACTTGATTTAGCAAACGTAAATTAAAACACACATACCTAACTATATTACCAAGTAAAATTATTACGTAGAAGTCACACATATAAAACACCAGCCATATTTACATGTCAGACCCAAAAGAGGAGTCATTTGTCTGGAGAAACAAAATGCATTCGATTTAATACTCACATTCTGCCACACTTCCAATGAATGGAGCTCCTTTACCATCTTTAGCGTACCTGAGGTACAGAAGTGGAACAAACGTTAGACATGTAGAATTAACCCTTTTCACGACCAGTGGACATTGAAGTCTAGATGCCCAGATTAAATTTAGCAGGTTCAGTATGCATATGTTATCTCATCAACACTATACAGTGTATCTTTAAAGCCATGAACGTGATTCCAAACAATTACTTGAGGTGAATAGTTGGGAAATGTCATATCCACGTTTTTTTAAAAAAAAAATGCTCATATGACTACTCTGCTTATTTAAAAAAATGTTTGCATTTTATAATGAGATATAACTTTAACCACTTAAGCTCCAGAGGATTTTACCTCCCTCCAAACCAGGCCTATTTTTTTTCTATTTAGCACTGTGCTCCTTTAACTGGCAATTGCGCAGCCATGCAATGGTGTACTTAAAAATTAAATTTATATAAACTTTTTCCCCCAGAAATAGAGCACTCATTTAGATCACCACTTTTTTTATTATTTAATTGAAGACCAAAAATTTCGAAAAAAAAACAAAACAAAAAAAAAAAAAAATTTACTTTTTTGCCATAAAAACATATCCAATAAAAATAAAAAAACCATCAAATTTAGGCCAAAATAACTTCTGCCACATCTTCAGTAAAAAAAAAAAAAAAAAAAAAAAAACAAAAAAAAACAAACACACATATATACCCACACATGCATACATACATACATACAAACAGTGAAGGAAATAAGTATTTGATCCCCTGCTGATTTCGAATGCTTGCTCACTTACAAAGAAATGATCAGTCTACAAATCGAATGGTAGGTGTATTGTAACACTGAGAGATACCTGTCCACAGGAGCAATCAAACAGTCAGATTCCAAACTCACCACCATGGCAAAGACCAAAGAGCTGTCCAAGGATGTCAGGGCCAAGATTGTAGACCTACACAAAGCTGGACTGGGCTGCCAAAGGATAGCCAAGCAGCTTGGTGAGAAGGTGACAACAGTTTATGCAATCATTCGCAAATGGAAGAAACACAAAACAATGGTCAGTCTCCCTAGGTCTGGTGCACCATGCAAGATCTCACCTCGTGACGTGTCAACGATCATGAGAACAGTGAGGAGTCATCCCAGAACTACACGTGAGGATCTTGTCAATGATTTCCAGGCAGCTGGGACCACAGTCACCAAGAAAAAAATTGCTAACACACTACACAAACAAGCATTGAAATCCTGCAGTGCCTGCAAGGTCCCTCTGCTCAAGAAAGCACATGTCCAGGCCCGTCTGAATGTTGCCACTGAACATCTGAATGATGCAGAGGACGACTGGTTGAAAGTGTTGTGGTCAGATGAGACCAAAATCAAGCTCTTTGGCATCAACTCAACTCGCCGTGTTTGGAGGAGAGGAGAAGGAATGCTGCCTATGACCCCAAGAACACCAACCCAACTGTCAAACATGGTGGTGGAAACATTCTGCTTTGGGGGTGTTTTTCTGCTAAGGGGACAGGACAACTGCACTGCATCAAAAGGGATGATGGACGGGGCAATGTACCGTCAAATCTTGGGTGAGAACCTTCTTCCCGCAGTCAGGGCATTGAAAATGGGTTGTGGATGGGTGTTCCAGAATGACAATGACCAGAAAAACACGGCCAAGGCAACAAAGGAATGGCTCAAGAAGAAGCACATTAAGGTCCTGGAGTGGCCTAGCCAGTCTCCAGACCTTAATCCAATTGAAAATCTGTGGAGGGAGCTGAAAGTTTGAGTTGCAAACCTTAATGTTTTGGAGAGGATCTGCCAAGAGGAGTGGGCCAAAATCCCTCCTGAGATGTGTGCAAACCTGGTGGCCAACTACAGGAAACGGCTGACCTCTGTGATTGGCAACAAGGAATTTGCCACCAAGTACTAAGTCATGTTTTGTGAAGGGGATCAAAATACTTGTTTCCCTCATGAACATGCAAAATTTGTAAAGACATGCATTTCTTTTGAATTTTTTGTCGCTATTCTGTCTCTCGGTGTTACAATACACCTATCTTTCGATTTTTAGACTGATCATTTCTTTGTGAGTGGGCAAACATTCAAAATCAGCAGGGGATCAAATACTTATTTCCTTCACTGTATGTGTGTGTGTGTGTGTATATATATATATATATATATATATATATATATATATATATATATATATATATATATATGATTTATCTATTTACTTTTTAAATACCAGTGATGGCTGCGATCAGCAACTTATAGCAAGACTGTGATAGAACAGCAGGCAATCTGACACTAACACTTTTTTGGGAATTGGCTGACACTGACGTCACCAGTGAAACTAATATCAGTACTAATATGCACGGTCACTGTACTAATTATACTGCCTGGGAAGGGTTACTATTTCCAGGCAAATGGTTAACTGTGTGCCTAACAATGTGTAATGTGTTTACTGTGTGTTTTCACTAAGCAATGTACCAGTTTTTATTCCCTGCTTTACATGGAGAAAAAAACACAGCACATTGCTGCTGTCAGTAGAGAGTAGGTAAACAACACAGAGCTCTGTCCTGTCATCTGCTCCACCAAGCAGTGATTATTGTGTGCCGATTGCGATGTGCTGGAGCGAATGGCAGCACAGCCTGGGCGGCGGGCGCATGAATCCCCTACCCAGATGGGCTGGATCATGTACATGATCTGGTGCAGAGAGGTTGACTTGCCACAATAACAGAGGTCTCCATACGATCTCCCTCCAAGCGTTGAAGAACTGCAAGTCCCATGAGGCCTTGCAAGACTAACAGCCACAGGCAAGACTCCCAGAGGCATGATGGGACTTGTAGTACTTCAACAGCTGGAGGGCCATAGCTTGGAGACCCCTGATATATATGTGGCAGTTGACAACTGGTTAATATTGGGTACCCAGTTTTGAAAATAGTAAAAGAATGCATTTTTGGTTGTTTTACAAATAACCTTTTTGAATCAGATGTGTTAACATTTTTTAATTAAAAAAAGGAATTTTGATTACTATACTTAATTCTTTGTGCACAGTGAGTATATAGGGAGAGGCACAGGGCCACCTGCAGACTGGAGAGGAATTATTAGAAAGCAAATCTCCAGCCAACAGTGGATATAAAAAGTCTACACACCCCTGTTAAAATGTCAGGTTTCTGTGATGTAAAAAAAATGAGCCACAGAAAAATAAATTTCAGATTTTTTTCCACCTTTAATGTGACATATAAACCCGTACAACTCAATTGAAAAACAAACTGAAATCTTTTTGGGGGGGGGCTAGGAGTAAACATAAAAAAAAACTAACAATACACACCTGCCATCATTTAAAGTGCCTCGGATTAACCCCAAATAAAGTTCAGCTGTTCTAGTAGGTCTTTCCTGACATTTTCTTAGTCACATCCTACAGGAAAAGCCACGGTCCGCAGAGAGCTTCCAAGCATCAGAGGGATCTCATTGTTAAAAGGTATCAGTCAGGAGAAGGGTACAAAAGAATTTCCAAGGCATTAGATATACCATGGAACACAGTGAAGACAATCATCATCAAGTGGAGAAAATATGGTGCAACAGTGACATTACCAAGATCTAGACATCCCTCCAAAATTGACGAAAAGACAAGAAGAAAACTGGTCTGGGAGGCTGCCAAGAGGCCTACAGCAACATTAAAAGGGAGCTGCAGGAATATCTGGCAAGTACTGGCTGTGAAGTACATGTGACCACAATCTCATAATCTTCATATCTCTGGACTATGGGGTAGAGTGACAAGATGGCAAAAAACCTTCAGGCTTCTGCTAGAAAGCTGAACTTCATCTTTCAGCATGACAATGACCCAAAGCATACATCCAAATCAACAAATGAATGGCTTCACCAGAAGATTAAAGTTTTGGAATGGCCCAGCTATAGCCCAGACCTGAATTTGATGGAAAATCTGTGGGGTGATCTGAAGAGGGCTGTGTACAGGAGATGCCCTCCCAATCTGACAGATATGGAGTGTTTTTGCAAGGAACAGTGGGCAAATATTGCCAAGTCAAGATGTGCCATGCTGATAGACCAAAAAAGACTGAGTGCTGTAATAAAATCAAAAAGGTACTTCAACAAAGTATTAGTTTAAGGGTGTGCACACACACATAATATTTTAGTTTTTATTTTTACTTCCCTTCACTAAAAGATTTTAGTTTGTTGTTCAACTGAGTTGTACAGTTTATAGGTTACATTAAAAGGTGGAAAACGTTCTGAAATGATTTATCTTGGTCTCATTTTTTTTTTACATCACAGAAACCTGACATTTTAACAGGGGTGTGTAGACTTTTTTATATCCACTGTATGTGATCAGCATGATTAGTTGCAATGGCGATCAGATCAATGTTAGACAGCCCTAGCTACTGTCAGTGAAAACAAGGTCTATGAAGAAGCAGATGCAACATACATGAACATTAACAATCTTCATCTACAGATTTATGTCAAAAGTGGTTAAACATAAAGCAGTACTACATATGGAGGACAGTTTTACCATGAGAAATGCAGATAGTTGGCCAATGCAGATATGACCTGGAGAACCAGCGCATTTGAAAGAACCTTTAGCACTGTGTGCATAGGACCACCCTTTTTAATGGTCTGCCACAGTGCCTGGATGTATATACAGGCAACCACAAAATACACAAGGACCAGAAGGAAAAAGAATTCATGTAATCCTAGGGAAAGAAAAGAAAAAGTTTTTTTTCATTTATCAAATTAAGATTCTAACACTGCTTTTGTTAAAAGTGAAATTCAAGATAAGCCGAAAATGCACAGGTGAAATATACATATAAAGTGAAAAATGATTTGCACTCTTCCTGATTTTTTATTTTTTTTTGCATATTTGTCACACTTACATGATTTAGATCATCAAACAAATTTATTACACAAAGATAACCCAAGAAAATACAGAATGCAGGTTTTAAATTACTTCATATATTAAGGGAAAAAACTGTCCAAACATGCCTGGCTCCCTCCCCTTGCCAAATCATGAATGAACGGTTATTAAACCACTTTTTATTTTTGGAAAGCGGAGTTAAATTTCACTTGCCATACCTAGGCATGATTACTACCAGACCTACTGAACCAATAGAAATCAGAGAGAGAAATCATAGAGAGAACCTGCCTGACAAAGTGAAGCACACTAAAAGATCTCAAAAAGCAACACATCATGCTGTGATCTAAAGAAATTCAAGAACAGATGAGAAACAAATTAGTTGAATTGTCTAAGTCTGGAAAGGGTTACAAAGCAATTTCTAAGGCTTTGGGACTCCAGCAAACCATGGTGAGAGCCATTATCCACAAATGAAGAAAACTTGGAACAGTGGTGAACCTTCCCAGGAGTGGCTAACCCACAAAATTTACTCCAAGAGCACAACGACGACTCATCCAGGAGGTCATTAAAGAGCCCAAAACATTTAAAAAACTGCAGGCCTCACTCACCTCAATTAAAGTCAGTGTTTATGATTCAACAATAATAATAAAAAAAACAAAACAAAAAAAAAAAAAAAAAAAACAAACTAGGTAAAAAAAGCTCCAAGGTGAAAAGGTACTGCTGACCAAAAAGAAGACAAAGGCTAGTCTCACATTTGCCAAACAACATCTTGATTATCCCCAAGACTTTTGGGCAAATATTCTATGGACTGATGAGGCAAAAGTTTAACTATTTGGAAGGTGTGCGTTCTGCGTTATACCAGAAAATCCCGAAGGAGGCCATCAATTCTTGAGGTATACTGCAGGACAAACACAACAGCAAGTCTATATATGAATGGCTCAAAAAAACAAAAAAAAAAACAAAAATAAGGTATTGGAGAGGCCTAGTTAAAGTCCGGACTTAAATCTGATTGAGATGCTGTAGCATGGCAGGCTGTTCATGCTGAAAACCCTCCAATGTGGCTGCATTGAAACAATTCTACAAATAAGAGTGGGCCAAAATTCCTCCACTGCGATATGGGGGAGGGGGGGCAAATCATTTTTCACAGAACTTTATAGAAGTAAAGTGTTTTACATGCCAAAGTTAAAGCAGACCCCTTCACTTATAATTTAGACATTCTCATTAAATCCTCCATTCTTCCTATTGCACATTTTTTTTTTGGGGGGGGTGTGGATATCTTTTTTTGCACATACTTGCTCCAACTTCCTCCTATCCGTTAGCTCACCCCCACATTCCAGGAGATTTTGAGATGTTCTCCACACAGATTCACCCTCATTTCACACATGCAGTGGGGATCTGGGTGTCAGTCATCAGGAAGTGACAGACAGCTTCAAATCCAAGATGGCAGCATGTGTTACTAAACCCAGACCCTGCATTTACTATATCTGGTCTCCTACAGTACATAGAACATGGAAATGCAAGTATTTTAGTAAATATATAAACTGCTAAATACCCTCTCTCATAAGCAGTACATAGAAATCTTGCGACTTCTACCAAGTCCAGTTGAGCACTGGTTAAAGCTTGTAGCAGTTTTCATTCTCCTCCCACTGTACTATGAGGCTCTATAACCCTTGACCCTCTATCTAGACAGCGCTGATTGGCCATGTGCTGATCACATGCACCCTTCCAAAAGGAATAAAAAAAAAAAAAAAAAAACTATCAATATACACACCAAACTAAGCATGTGCAGAGTGACTCCAAGAGCTCTGCGCTATCAGTAGATGGATTGAGGACAGTCAAAGAATGGGAGGATCAGAGAAGATAGGATCAAAACAGCCTTTTCACACAATGTGGATGATTAACTCCTTAGGTTTCACAGTGAATATAACAAGCACGCTTTACTGCATTTACAAATGAATTTACTGTTGTGGGTTTAGTAACACTTTAACACAGATGCTTCAAATTGCACAGCAGGATGGATGACAACCACAACTTCAGATTACATTGAACAGGTACTTTACCCACACAGAACCCTCCAGTTGCACAAACTTGTCTTCCTTTCATTCACTTGTTGCTCCATTCACCTAGAGATTTAAAGTGACATACCCGGCACTTTCAGGGTATGGGGAGCATGTGACAGTGTATGACTTGAAGCTCACACTAAGCTCAGTCTCTGTGCTTGTGAGAAACAGTGCAGAAAGAAGGATTTTGGGTTCCTGGAGAACTGAGTTGACTGTTTGTCGGTTACCGGCTGTCTAGCAGAGAAGGACTGCACCTAAATGGGGAAGGCACAGCTCTGTTGGGGGGCGAAAAAAAGTTGGGAGGAACTTTTAAAACTAGGGTGGTGGTGGGATCAGAGAAAACTATGCCAGGCAGCGAGCAAAGATCACAATGACTTGAATGAATCCTCCCGCTGTGCCTTTGCACTCACTCTGAGGCTCCATGCACACTAATATTTCTTTTAGGTTCAAAAAATGCTGGTAAAACCGCTGAATAAAAAAACACTGGTAATACTGGTTTTTAGTCGAGTTTAGGAACTTTAGCGTTTTAATAGTACATGTAGAGGAAAAAAAAAAAAGCTGTTATGAGCATTTTAGTAGCGTTTAGCTTTTTTTAATGCTGGAAAAACGCTCCAAAAAACTCTGCAAAAACAACTTTATTTCTGCTCCTAGACAGTGAAGCTCAATAAATGCTAATAGCCTAATGTAATGTAGCTAAACACATAGGATAAGACTATTTAGCAAAATATGCTGATAATAGCTTCTAGGAGCTTAAAAAAAAAACAAAAAACAAACCACCGGTATGCATGGAGCCTAACAGTGGAGAGATTTACCTGCCATCAGAGCACACTGATCAGTGCTGCCAGTGGGAAAAAAAGCTGATTAGTGATGGTTTTCTGCTACTACTTTCAGAATGAGGAAGAGATAAGGGGGTCTGCTAAAACGATCACCTAACAACATTTTGGAAAATAGTAAACAGTGAACCACATAGTGACACTCAATTATCAAGTTGGGGAATGCAAAAATCTACAGGTGAACTAGAAAACCCTTTAAAAATGTAAATAGAAATGATTACTTTGTTTATTCATACATACAACAACAGTGATGGTTAGACTCCTGAACATATATGATCCTTTAACCATGTAAACACCTTTAATATTGAGCTTTCATCAAACAAACCTCTCACAGTCAGTTATAGAAATATATAGCCTAGTATCCTCTATCTACTAGAACACAGAGAGGAAACCTTTTTTTCATTTTACTGTAACACTCATGTGCAGCACAGGGTTTCAATGGTTACTTGAAGTTGCAATCCTGTACTTTAAACTGTAAAATGGTTTCAACATACTGTCTGGCAATATTTTCAAGGTATGATCATCTGAAATAAGTTACATATTTTCACCAACTGCAGTCCAAATAGTAAATATCAATCATCATCTGCACCTAGAATATCAACTCTGAACTTTTAGGTAGGCATACTTACATTGGTCCACGAGGTAAACTTGCTACCATGCTTCTCTGATTGGATGAGGTGGTGATTGTGTCGTCCACCTTGCCTTGTCCAATCAGAGAACACTTTGTATTAATTGAGAAAATGCAAAGCGTTCTCTGAACGGCGCCCGTGATGAACGAGTGACCTCCTGTGTTCACTAAGACACCGGGCAGCTACTTGGAAAAGTAACTCAAACGCTAGTGGTGATTCCAGCACAGTATAGAGGAATTAAAGAAAGCACAAGTATCTACACTTTAAATGTTTTAAGGGTATGGGATAATTTACACAAAAACATGAAATGGGAATTCAACTCTATATTAATGCCTCTTGCAAACACTAAGTACTTCCCTCCAGGAAAGGATGAGATATCAGGGAGATGGTTTAAAAAGGAAGATATCCAATTGAGAGATGTTCTGGTAGAGGGGGAATTGAGACCATTTAAAGAATTAAAAGAGAAGAAGGGAGATATTTTTACTAGAATAGATGAGTGGAAATATCATCAATTAAAATGTTTCATTGGAAATCTTCTGAAACCCCTGAGATTAAAAAAGGAGTGGAATATGTTTGAAAGGCTGTTAGAAACATGAAGGGATGGGAAGCACGGTATTGCTAAAATCTATAGAATACTCACAGAATTAGACACAAACACACAAGTTAACTTTTATAACAAAATGGGAAAGAGATATGGAAGTAGTGTTAGATGAAGATAAACAGAAAAAGATATTTAGATTGATACACGAGAACGTTAGTATGAGAGAGGTGGAGATTAATTATACGTGTTGGACACGTTGGCATATTACACCGAGTATTGAGCATAAGATGAGTGGGGAGAATTCAAAAATGTGTTGGAGAGGATGTGGAGAGATGGGCACGGTGTTTCACATATGGTGGGAATGTCCAAAAATTCAAGCTTTTTGGAAGACAATAGTTAAACTGATTGAAATAATAACTGGAAATGACCCATCGATGTGCCTCCTACACAATGTTGAGACATCAGTAAACAAATACAAAGAATCAGGAGTATGGTACTACTTAAACGCTGCAAAAGCTTTGATAGCCAAGTTTTGGCAGAAAACAGAGGTGCCGAAGGAGGAAGACTGGATCAATAGAGTAAACCAGATTGGTAGAATGGAAAAATTTTACCATATGCAGGAAGATAGGATGGGAGTATATTATATGAGATAGGAAAAAAATCAGGATTGAAAGAGAAATACAGAAAACTATAAACTAGGACGTTACCTAAAGTCATTAGGCCTCGAGAGAAAAGAGTGGGGTAGAGCTTGCAGAGGGGGGAGGGGGGGGGGGAGGGGG